TGTGTTATGATAGAACACAGGCTCGGGCAATTCCTTAGCACTGACTAGGTTGTAGCTCAGTTCTCCATCCCAAACGTCTTCAACGACGCGACCAGTTTCTTGAAGCATGGACTTCTGAACCGGTACTCGTTTCTTCGAAGAGTCCTTTAGAATGGAGTCGCGAACAGTCCCCGAAACTGCTAGGAGTTCACCCACAGTGACGTCGACTGACGCGTTTTTCATTTTGTCGTAGACTGCTTCTGCTACAGCCTTCTTTTGAATCGGTGCACGCAACTGGTATTTATCTGGAACGCGCGCTTTTGAAGAATGTACTGGTTCTTGTAGAACGGGCTTGACTTTCTCAAACGGTAGTTCCTTTCTGTTTTCGACGTTGTCGCGCACTGATTCCTCATCATCGTCGCTATCACTAACTTCTTCAATAGTCACAGGTTTTCTCGGTTTCTCTCGTCGCTCAGCTCGTTTATCATGGTCCTCAGAGGGCTTGGCTGAGTTTGTGGGTTTAGCCCCCTTCCTTGAACCATTTAGAAACCCGAGTTGTTATCGTCGCGCTCAGGTTGGCTATTCGCACCACGACGGGTTTGAATGAACTGCTCCTGAGTCTGAGGATAACCACTGTTCATGTTGTTGAAGTAGCCGGCCATGGCGTCGGTCATGGCTTTCTGCATGAATTGGCCCATGGCACTTTCCATTGCATTGCTGGTTGAACCAGATGCAGTTCGTTGAGTCTTTGGCTCAGCGCGACTCTCTGGGGTTGGTCGCGACGACTTCCTCTCGTATTGGATGAGTTGACTTCGAAGGGAGCGTATTTCATCTGCCACTTCTTCAGGGTAGTCGGACATATCATCATTGTCGCGACTATCGAACTGATCCAAGTAGTAGGAGTCCTGGAAGTTGACGGATTTGCCCTTCTTCTTCCAATAAGCCTCTACTCGTTGCCCCTGAGTCCCTTCTCCATTTGGTAAGAAGCTGTCGTCGAAGAGCCTCCACATCCCTTTGGTGTCGACTTTGAGAAGGTTTTTCTCAATGTGAGACCTCTTGAGCGGGCACTCGTTCGACCAATGACCAGTTTGTCCACAGTAGCGACAATCGTCGTTCCGTGCGGCAGCTCCTCCTTGTGCGCGACTTTCAAAGTGGGGCACAGAAGAGTTGTTGCCTACTGGCCGCGACCGCTGTATGGGCGCTTCGCGAGCAGTCTGTACGAACGTCTTCAGCGCTTCCTGCAACTGAGTCTGTAGCTCTTTTTGGTGTAGAAGAAATGAATCCTTCAAGTTGGAAATCGAGTTTTCCAACTCCTCAACCTTAGCATGGTTGGGTGGACTAGTCTCATAGTCGAAACGAACCTTGGGAGGTCGCGCGATTATGGGAATTTCGTCTTCGTTGCTCAACGTCGACGCCATTTCTTCCGCCATTGTCATTAGTTCTTTCAACTGGATGGGGTCGTCCTGCCGATTGACTCCAGTCGCGGGGACATTAGCGTTTGCTATCCCGGCGCGAGTTTGGTAGCGCTTGTTGAATACCTGACTCGTAGCCAAAGCATTTCGCAAGACGGTACTGAACTCAGAGTCCAAAGTACGCATGTAGCGTTCACACGCGACTTTGTTGGTGATAATGGCAGGAGGGACTGACAGTCGCTTGTAGTGACTATACATTTGAAGGCCGAAACGCTTCAAATCTCCCTCATCCGTGATTTTGATTCCACGGTTCTCGCGACAGAGCCTGTCTAGATCTGCCATGGTCCCCGTTTTTCGCTTGGACACCTCAGGGTATCCTTTTAATATTTCGGCCTCGAATTCCGCGACAGTTTTCGTGTCGTCGGAATAGGTATCGAGACCTTCCCATACGTCCATCACTTGCCGCGACGGCAAATAACGGATGTACATGCTTTTTGCTTGTTTGACATCTGTGATGCCACCATCCTCCACGATCTGCGCGCAGTGACGCAAATATGCCTCAATCGACAGGGGATCCTTTTCATCAAGTATAGGTCTACTTGTGTCCCAAGGTTGGGGGATTTTGAACCCAGTCTTTGGAGCCATAGTTGTCGCGACTGAAGTCACAGGGGAAGTAGGGATGTTGTTAGAATTCGTGTTTGTAGCGGTGACGCTACTTGACAATTCTGAGAGGGTTTGTGAGCTAGTCTGAGATCGACTGATTGTCGTCGAACTCGAAGTAGCTGTGTCTAAAGCTGGAAGCTTCGACGTCGAATTCACTCTTTGTTTTCCTTTTGCCTTGGAAGGCAAGGGTGGTAGATACAAAGGTGTTTTATGTCTTGCAGACCTTCGTGGTTTTTCGAAAGGTCCTGAGGTTGAAGCGTTTCCTTCAGTCTCAATCTCCGCTTGGTCCTCGAGAGGTCGCGCAGGAGCTTGGGATCGAAATAAACTGCTTCGCGGGATAAACCCTTGGTCTCTATCCGACGTCGCGGTAAAGAATCCGGTTTATTGATTTTTAAAGTTTATGAAACTTTAGAAGCCCCTCGCGGTGGGCTCCAGATGAAATGCTGAGGGCGTGCTCACAAGTGAATCTACTATGAAAGTAAACCCAAATATAAAACACGTTCACACTCCTCGTAATCAGCTTCTCAGTGTGTGAAAGATGCGAGGGCTTCGGGGTGGACAGAGCACCAGTATCACAACTCTCAATAGACGCAGATCCAATAGTCGCGGAGACGAAGTCGACGACAAGAATTTATATATAGCAAACAATGGTGTCTCAACCAATATCTTCTATACGATCACAACCAACACTAATCCAATCCACAACAACAATATAACAAGTCAGAGCTTAATACGAAGTATTAAGATCCCTTGTAGCGACAGCGTCTAGATGGTGACGCAAAGCCCAAATATCAAGTCGACGCACTGCCAACCGATACAACCAATATACTGAGTCGACGCACTGCCAACTAGTAAACCAAAATGTCGAGTCGACGCACTGTCAACTGACACAACCAAAAGTACTGAGTCGACGCACTGCCAACTAGTAAACCGAAATGCCGCGTCGACGCACTGCCAACTAACAGCCAATATCCAATGTCCAAAACCCGAGCACAACTTGTCGACGCACTGCCAAGCAAGAAGTGTGGAACCAAAGTTCTCAAGTCGACGCACTGCCAACTGACCAAAACAACCCGAGCACAACTAGTCGACGCACTGCCAAGCTAGAGGTGTGGAACGATCTCAACAAAGCCCGAAGGCGACGACACTAAATGCCGCGACTAAACCAGATGCGGCGAATCCGACTTTCTGATGTCTCAAAACTCAAAACTCAAATCACAGTAGCTACAAGTGCTCAGGGAGCAACTCGTCGCGACCGGGCAGGGATGGCAGAACTTCTTAGGGTGGAATCACGCGGCACGCAAATTGTACAAAACAATCTGAAATGATAGTGATTCACAGTCCGGGGGAAAGCTCCCCAATACAAAGAAACGACGTGCTACTTATACTGTCTACGACGCTGCTTAGTAAAGTCCTGTACAACTGCATAGTAGCTACGCTATCTAAGATCGGTTGCCTTTTAGGGTAATTGAAAAGTTGAACGATCGGACAGGTCCTGAGTGATCAGGACCCCGCCCCATTGTCCCTATGATACTTTTGATGTGGGTCAACCCACCGCGTCATACTTTTGGAATACGACGTGTTGGATTGGCCAACGGGTATGTCTTGGCAAGTGAGACCAACGTGGGCGCCCCAAGAAGCCGTATGGCCCTAGGCACACCAGTCGTCCCCCACATGGTTCGGTTCACGGATCTTACCGTGTCGGTTTCTAGTGTGTTTGGGTATGGGCGCGACTCGCCGTGACACTTGGAAGCGTCACCGCGACGCGTCCACAATGTCCCGTGATCGAATGGATCCTGACATGTGACAAGCCGCCGTCGTGGCATGATCTGAGGAAACGTCCAACTCCAAACCGGGAGTTGCCGCGACAAGATGGTTTAAGTCTCGTAACGCCAAGTCCTGTCCAGTAGTAGTTCTATTATTGAGAACGTCGCGCATTGCTCAGCCCTTCAGCCCAAGTTCCCATCTGCAGAGAATGACCCTTTTTGAGAAGTCGACGCAACGACAGATCCCTTTGTGGGGAATGGTCGCGGTCCAAGCGTTCGTCACTAATGGCCCTGAGCCTGGTGTAGACCCATAAGACCAGTTCCACAGTAGTGGTCTGACCGCCTTGCTATCGTCGACACTATCCACAGTCGTCGACTGGGCAGTAGACCCTTAAGTCCTACTGAGCGCAACACTGTCAACCGCGACACGATACACCGAATGGTTCAAGAGTAAACTCTGTAAAAAGCGCAAAAATACGCCCTTACAGAGCTGGTGCAGAGCGCGTCTGGTAGCCAGCCTATCAGCGATATGCTGTATGGGGAACTGTCGCGATCTTGACAGGAGGAAATATATCCTGTCTCAATGCACCACGTTCTTCATCATTGAACGCGAAACTCTGATTGTGAAGCATATAGAAGTGCATGAGCAGCTTCCGTTCTTCTGGTAATAAGAAGTCTCCTTTGTGTAGCTTGTCCACAATATCCCTGCGCTCCGCCGTGAATCTACCAGTTGGGGCAAAATCAGGTGGTCGCGGGTTTAGAGTAGGTAGCGTGTCCAAAGGATCCCCAACCATTTCGCGAATTATTCGATCGTCCTCAGAACCCATAGTGTACACTGGTCTGACTTTCTGGTCCACAGGCTTGTATTTCTTTCCTGCGAACACAGAGTATTTGTCGCGACTAGAAGAGTCGTCTTCTAGCACACTCCAAGTACCAACAGTCAGTTTTTCCGTTGCCGCGTCTGAGAGTCTTTCATTCATATATGAATGAAACAAAGTCGACACAGCAACGTCTTTCTTCATTTCCTTGTCTTCTTTCGATGACAAGATATATGCTTCTACTAGCTCAGTTTGGGTAAACTGGCCACTAGAACGCGGCTTTCTTAGATCCTTGAACACTACATTCCCATCTTTTCCCAACAACACAGTCACCACGACTTCTTCTCCTTGACTCAACCTGGTCAATTCCTCGAAGCTCTTTGAAAATCCCGTTCAGGATTTGGTTCGTCTGGACTGGTCGTAGGTTTAGATGAACTGTAGGGCTCGGTAGACCTATTGTTGTTTTTGGCGTTGCGTGGCAAGTTGTCTGCACAACACAGCTGCATAGCCATTGCACAACGTGTCTTGAAATTGGGATCGCGCATAGTGATTATCTGGCTGCGGTCGGCCGCGTTCTTGATATTGCTTTCTGTTGCGATATCAAATGGTCTGCCTGGCAACACCTTATAAGCTGGACTTTCCAAAATGTGCACCTGCAGGTAGACCAGGATGGTCCCAAACCTGAAGGGTACATTTCTCGCTAATCCCAGTGACTTAGAGATAGATCCATTTGCGCTTTCCATGTAGATGACGACTTTTGGGTCCCAGCTTAATTGTGCATCAACAGCTTCTGAGAAGGCCATCGAGACAATCTGAGATCCACTGTCGAGGATGCAGTCCGCGTTGAGATGCGCGTTAATCCGTCTGTTTATTGTTCTGAGAGCAGCCGATGGATCACCAACATAGACATGCCTTGGGTTCTCGTTAGAGGGTATTGACTCCAAGTACATCTCATATGGGTCCGTCGCAACAACTGCGCCAATGGGAATTTCTCCTTCGACTGTGTTATGATAGAACACAGGCTTGGGTAATTCCTTAGCACTGACCAGGTTGTAGCTCAGTTCTCCATCCCAAAACTGATTCCTCATCATTGTCGCTATTGCTAACTTCTTCAACAATCACAGGCTTTCTCAGTTTCTCTTGTTGCTCAGCTTGTTTATCATGGTCCTCAGAGGGCTTGGCTGAGTTTGTGGGTTTAGCCCCCTTCCTTGAACCATTTAGAAACCCGAGTTGTTATTGTCGCACTCCGGTTGGCTATTTGCACCACGACGGGTTTGAATAAACTGCTCCTGTGTCATAACTCGACTCTTTTTCATCTTATCATCGGCGATCTTATCTTATCATCGGCGATCTTATCTTATCTTGGCACGACTTATCTTATCACGGATCACGGCATCAGACGGTCCGGGCTAGGGGTTCCAGGGGTTATCTCTATCGATTCGAGGCTGCGCGACATATGCTCCGGAAGGTTCTACTACAACCCATGACCAGTGCTCCATGCGGTACATAGCCCTATGACTCATTAGTTGTAGATATGACTCAGACTGGATTTGGGTATAAATACTGTAGCTACTTGGTTGTATTCTCCAGTCTTCGAATTCACTTCTCTTTTCGACTTTGTTTTTGGGTTGATTGTCACATCCTGAGTCTGAGGATAACCACTGTTCATGTTGTTGAAGTAGCCGGCCATGGCGTCAGTCATGGCTTTCTGCATGAACTGGCCCATGGCAATCTCCATTGCATTACTGGTTGAACCAGATGCAGGTTTCTGAGTCCTTGGCTCAGCACGACTCTCTGGAGTTGGTTGCGTCGACTTCCTTTTGTATTGGATGAGTTGACTACGAAGGGAGCGTATCTCATCTGCCACTTCTTCAGGGTAGTCGGACATATCATTGTTGTCGCGACTATCGAACTGATCCAAGTATTAGGAATCTTGGAAGTTGACAGACTTGCCCTTCTTCTTCCAATAAGCCTCTACTTGTTGTCCCTGAGTCCGTTCTCCATTTGGTAGGAAACTGTTGTCGAAGAGCCTCCACATCCCTTTGGTGTTGACTTTGAGAAGATTTTTCTCAATGTGAGACCTCTTGAGTGGGCACTTGTTGGACCAGTGACCAGTCTGTCCACAGTAGCAACAGTCGTCATTCCGTGCGGCAGCTCCCCCTTGTGCGCGACTTTCAAAGTGGGGCACAGAAGAGTTGTTGCCTACTGGCCGCAACCGCTGTATAGGTGCTTGGCGAGCAGTCTGTACGAACGTCTTCAACGCTTCCTGCAACTGAGTCTGTAACTCTTTTTGATGTAGAAGAAATGAATCATTCAAGTTGGAAATTGAGGTCTCCAACTCCTCAACCTTAGCATGGTTGGGCGGACTAGTCTCATAGTCGAAGCGAACCTTTGGGGGTCACGCAATTATGGGAATTTTGTCTTTGTTGCTCAATGTCAACACCATTTCTTCTGCCTGTCACAGACAATACCGCGCAGTGGAGATACGACCAGTAGCGATCACCTAGAAGACAGAGTCTCAGCGAGTGTAGAGACACAGGAGCTATATCATTAGCTGTACCTAGAAGACAGAGTCTATGGTACAAGTCATAAGTAGGATCATTAGATTGTGAGGGAGAATGCATACCTCAGCGAGTGTAGAGACACAGGAGCTGAGGATATGGAGCGTATAGTACTAGGTTTATATACCAGTCTGGAGCAGATATCATGATGTCATAGTGGACTAGTGATATCATAGATGAGTAATGGATGACGCAATAATGAGGTCAGGTATGAGGTCATTGTGGAGCGAGCCAAAGTAATCTAAAGATACTACATATGATGTCATGTCTACATACTGTGATAGTCGCTAATACAAACAAGCTTCAACACTGCCATTGTCATTAATTCTTTCAACGGGATGGGGTTGTCCCGCCAGTTGACTCCAGTCGCGGGGACATTAGCATTTGCTATCCCAGCACAAGTTTGGTAGCGCTTGTTGAATACTTGGCTTGTAGCCAGAGCGTTCCGCAAGACGGTACTGAACTCAGAGTCCAAAGTATGCATGTAGCGTTCACACGCAACCTTGTTGGTAAGAATGGCAGGAGGGACTGACAGTCGCTTGTAGTGACTATACATTTGAAGGCTGAAACGCTTCAAGTCTCCCTCATCTGTGATTTTGATTCCACGGTTCTTGCAACAGAGTCTGTCGAGATCTGCCATGGTCCCCGTTTTTCGCTTGGACACCTCAGGGTATCCTTTTAGGATTTTGGCCTCAAACTCCGCAACACTTTTCGTGTCGTTGGAATAGGTATCGAGACCTTCCCATACGTCCATTACTTGCCGCGATGGCAAATAACGAATGTACATGCTTTTTGCTTGTTTGACATCTGTAATACCACCATCCTCTACGATCTGCGTGCAGTGACGCAAATATGCCTCTATCAACAAAGGATCCATTTTGTCAAGTATAGGTCTACTTGTGTCCCAAGGTTGAGGGATCTTGAACCCAGTCTTTGGAGCCATAGTTGTCGTGACTGAAGTCACAGGGAAAGTAGAGATGTTGTTATAATTCGTGTTTGTAGCGGTGACGCTACTAGACAATTCTGAGAGAGTTTGTGAGCTAGTCTGAGATCGACTGATTGTCGTTGAACTCGAAGTAGCCATGTCTAAAGCTGGAAGCTTCGACGTCGAATTCACTCTTTGTTTTCCTTTTGCCTTGGAAGGCAAGGGTGGTAGATACAAAGGTGTTTGATGTCTTGCGGATCTTTGTGGTTTTTCGAAAGGTCCTGAGGTTGGGGCGTCGCCTTCAGTCTCAATCTCCGCCTGATCCTCGAGAGGTTGCGCAGGAGCTTGGGATCGAAATAAACTGTTTTGCAGGATAAACCCTTGGTCTCTATCCGATGTCGCAGTAAAGAATCCGGTTTATTGATTTTTAAAGTTTATCAAACTTTAGAAGCCCCTCGCGGTGGGCTCCAGATGAAATGCTGAGGGTGCACTCACAAGTGAATGTACTGTGAAGTAAACCCAAATATGAACACGTTCACACTCCTCATAATCAGCTTCTCAGTGTGTGAAAGATGCGAGGGCTTCGGCAGTGGACAGAGCACCAGTATCACAACTCTCAATAGACGCAGATCCAGTAGTCACGGGAGAGGAAGTCGACGACAAGAATTTATATATAGCAAATAGTGGTGTCTCAACCAATATCTTCTATATGACCGAATCCAACACTAATTCAACCACAACCAACAATATCACAAGTCAGAGCTTCATACAAAGTATTAAGATCCCTTGTAGCGACAGCGTCCAGATGGCAACGCAAAGCCCAGATATCAAGTCGACGCACTGCCAACTGACACAACCAAAGTACTGAGTCGATGCACTGCCAACTAGTAAACCAAAATGCCGCGTCAACGCACTGCCAACTGACCAAAACTACCCAAGCACAACTAGTCGATGCACTGCCAAACTAGAGGTGTGGAAACGATCTCAACAAAGCCCAAAAGCAACAACACAAAGTGCCACGATAGAACCAGAAGCGGTGAATCCAACTTTCTGATATCTCAACTCAAAACTCAAATCATGGTAGCTACAAGTGCTCAGGGAGCAACTTGTCGCGACCAGGCAGGGGTAACAGAACTTCTTAGGGCGGAAACACGTGACACGCAAATTGTACAAAACAATCTGAAATGGGTATGATTCACAGTCCAGGTGAAAGCTCCCCAATACAAAGAAACGACGCGCTACTTATACTGTCTACGGCGGTGCCTAGTAAAGTCCTGTACAACTGCATAGTAGCTACGCTATCTGAGATTGGTTGCCTTTTAGGGTAATAAAAAGTTGAACGATCGGACAGGTCCTGACTGATCAGGACCCCGCCCCATAGTCCATATGGTACTTTTGATGTGGGTCAACCCACCGTGTCATACTTTTGGAATACAACGTGCTGGATTGGCCAACTGGTATGTCTTGGCAAGTGAGCCCAACGTGGGTGCCCCAAGAAGCTGCATGGCCCTAGGCATGCCAGATGTTCCTCACGCTGTTTGGTTCACGGATCTAGCCGTGTCGGTTTTAGTGTGTTTGGGTATGGACGCAACTCGCCGTGACACTTGGAAGTGTCACCACAATGCGTCCACAATGTCCCGTGATCGAATGGATCCTGACATGTGACAAGTTGTCACCGTGGCATGATCTGAGGAAACACCCAACCCAAAGCCAGGAGTTGCCGCGACAAGATTGGTTCAATCTCGTAACGTCAAGCCCTGTCCAGAGACAGTTGTAATGTTGAGAACGTCGCGCATTGCTCAGCCTTTCAGCCCAAGTTCCCACCTGCAGAGAATGACCCTTTTGAGGAGTCACCGCAACAAAAGATCCCTTTTGGGGAATTGTCGCGGTCCAAGTGTTTGTCACTAATAGCCCTGAGCCTGGTGTAGACTCATAAGACCAATTCCACAGTAGTGGTCTGACTGCCTTACTATTGTTGACACCATCCACGGTCGTCGACCGGGCAATAGACCCTTAAGTCCTACTGAGCGCAACACTGTCAACTGCAACACAATACACTGAATGGTTCGAGAGTAAACTCTGTAAAAAGCGCAAAAATACGCCCTTACAGAGCTGGTGCAGAGCGCGTCTGGTAGCCAGCCTATCAACGTGTGAGCGCTGCCCCCTAGAAGGCTTCCGGAATCATAGAGTGGCACACAAAATCGAGATTCTGCAATACAAGTGTGACAATCAACCCAAAAATAAAGTCGAAAAGAGAAGTGAATCCAAAGACTGGAGAATACAATCAAGTCGCTACAGTATTTGTACCCAAATCCAGTCTGAGTCATATCTACAACTAATGAGTCATATGGCTATGTACTGCATGGAGCACTGGTCATGGGTTGTAGTAGAACCTTCCGGAGCATATGTCGCACAGCCTTGAATCAATAGAGATAACCCCTGGAACCCCTAGCCCGGACTGTCTGATGCCATGATCCGTGATAAGATAAGTCGTGCCCAGATAAGATAAGATTGTCGATGATAAGATGTAAAGTGGCCGAACTATGACACCTCGACTTGCAGGATGCATCTATGCATGCAGAGCCAGACACCAACTCAACCACTCTGGAGCTTGAGAGGCTTGCTAGTCTTCTGACTGGTTTGGTCATTCTCGACAAGGGTGAACAGTCGCATCGCAAAGCGCAATCCAAACTCTTCAGCACTTGTGACAAATTTCAAGCCTGTGTACCCAATGTGCTGGTCGCTTTCATGCCTATTGCACCTGCACAAGCTCTCAGTGGCATCAAATCTGTGCTCAAGCCCAGTCTCTTCTGCTTTCACCGTTGGTGATACAAGCCCACCATGTCAATATGGGTCTATGCTGCAATATGCTCCAACAAGTTTGCAATGCCATGGCCAAACTTGAACTCCAGCAGGTGTTTGACCTTACCCCCAGTGCCACCGTCGCGCTAGTGACTATAGTCAACTCTGCCACCCTTGTTGTTGGCAAAGCAGGCCGTCTTTGTAGACGGATGACCCAGTCAGTCTACAGGAAGGATAAATATCTAGACCTAAATATAAGGTAATGACCACGTACCCTCAGTCACACCAGACAATGGTAAGACTGAGGGCCGTGAAACAATCAGAAAACTTCATATGTCTGCTCGATCGTACAAACACATCATAACGCTGAGCGCCACTTGCTGACGTGATCAGCATTCATCATCAACACTCCCCCTGGTGCTCAGCTCTCCTCCAGTCCAGTCCAAGCGCGTGGCAGATGCGGCTGTGATCTGTTCGCCCAAGTGCCTTTGTAAGAATGTCTGCGACATTCATCTTGCCGGGGACCGACGTGACAGCGATCTCCCCCTCGCTAACGCGGTCGCGTGTATAGTGAAACCGGATATCGATGTGTTTTGCAAGGCCATGTCCTTTCGTCGTCTCCGTGAGGCTTATGGAGCCAAGGTTGTCACCTCGAAGCTCCAACGGTGTTTCCTGGGGCAGGAACACTTCCGACAGCCAGTGTTTCATCCACATCACTTGCTGAGATGCACGAGCCAGAGAGATGTATTCCGCTTCCGTTGAGGATAGCGCGACCACCGCTTGTCGTTTCGCCGACCATGCTACCGGGGCCCCGCCCATGAAAAAGATGTAGCCAGCGGTAGATCTCCGCGTGTTGACACACCCCGCCCAGTCGGAATCCACGAATCCGATCGGCTTCAAGCTGTCTCCGACACAATATCTGATCCCGTAGTCAATGGTACCTTTGATGTATCGTAAGACGCTGATCAAAATCGTCCAGTGCTCCGGTCCAGGGTTAGATTGGACGTGGCCAAGCGCGCAGCACGCGTATGCAAGGTCGGGTCGTGTGCCGCTGCTCCCCCAGACGATGCAGCCTAGGATCTGCCGAAACGGTTTATTTCGCATGAACGCGGTGTCCTCGGTCGGAAGCGGAGATGGAGATGCATGGATCTGGTATCCAGGTGGAAGCGGAGTTGACAGCGGAGGTAGATCCGCATAGCCAAAGTGGTCCAATACTTTTTCGAAGTACTGGCGCTGCGATAACGCTATATCGCTGTTGGGAAACTTCTCCACGGTCAGTCCTAGCAGTAAATTTAGATTGACCTGCTTCAGATCCCATTTTTCCGCGAACTCCTCTACCACGCGCGCACTTTCTTCCTCGCTGGCAGAAGCGCCAATGATGTCGTCTGTGTGGGTGCTTGTGATTGTGTGTTCTCCGCCTTGTTTCCTTGTCCGAACGCACAGGTCGGCGGCGTTTTCGTGATATCCCAGATCTTCATACTCGGCACTCAACGTCTTGTACCAAATCTGCCCGGCGTGGACCAGCCCATAGAGTGGTCGTAAGAGAAGACAGACCTTGTCTTCCCTCCCCTTCTCTTCGAATCCACGCGGCTGTTGCATGTAAACGGCCCGGTCCATTGTGCCATTCAGGTAGGCTCCTGAGAAGTCCCATTGCCGTACGTGCATCCTTCTCACACACGCAACCGCAAACACCATGCGTACGGATTCCATCTTCCACCATTTGATCCCCCCTCGCAACCCACCTGGCTTTTCTCTTTACGATGTTTCCTTCTCCATCCACTTTCACATCAAAGACCCACATCCCGTCCAATGCTCTTTCCCCCTCTGGTAAGTTGACAAGTCTCCATACGCCCTTTTGTTTCATCTGATTCATCTCTGTCAGGGGACGCCGCGCTCCTTGGGCACGTGAGCATGCACGTGACCCACTGCACCCTCTCTGCCGACCCGTGCCTGCTCACCTGTTGATCACCCAGCCTCCTCCTCCTCCTCCGATCCTCATCTCCATCCATGCTGACATCCGCCCTCTTCCTCCTTCTCCCACCCATCTCCTTTGAATCCCCGCAAGCGGTCTAGCCAAGCCTGATTCCTTGCACCAGGGAGTGCTACTGCCATACGCACTCCTCCCCCTTCACTTCGGCCTCCTCCCCGCGGATGTGGTCTACTGCCGTACAGGCTCGTACCAGATGCCCTTGCGCTCATCCGCACCACCCCTCTTCCCAGTTGGGCATTGGTCCTTGCCTCCAATGTCTCCACTGGCTGGCCCGGCACTGGCCTGGCCACTGGGCTCCTCCGGTGTGGCCTTCCACTGTTGGTGTCTCAGGAGCTGCCTGCCATTGTTCCATGGCAGTGATATCCCATCATCATCAGTCACTTGTCACAGCTGACTATACAGTGTGACACCTGGGCACCTGGATCCTTGAACCGTTCTCTAAGGATCCCACTCTGTGCTCAGGTGAGTAGTATACCTCCCTTGTATTTGATAGTCTCTAAGGATCCCCCTCTGTGCTCAGACTCATGTGAGGTTGTTGTGTGCTGTGTGCTCTCTTCCTTCGGGCTGGCAGGAGTTGCCCTTACAATCTCTTCCTTCATAGGTTCCCCCCAGATCTCCGGTTCCTTCAACGCTTCTGCCCCTGACCTTGGGAGTCTACCTCTCGTTGCGCTAGCCAGTGCCATCGGGGTTGTAAACGAGTCTTCGTCGAAGGTGTCCCCTTCCAGGTCTACAAAGTTCACGCTCGGTCGAATTGAGTCCCGCGCCCAGTCTTCGTTCGCACGTCTTGCCTCTGCCTCTTCCCTTCTCGCGATTCGGCTCTCTAGCATCTTCCGACTGGGTTTTGGTATCCGACTCGTCTTTCTGGGGATCGGAGGTACGTTTGTAATCGAATCGTGCTTGTTGGTCTGACCATTCGCTGCGTCTTGCTCTGGGACTGTGTCGCTCATGTTCGGTGGTCCGTCCTCGCCTTCCCCAGTTGGCTGTTCAGCTATACGGTCTTCGTCAGTGGACATAACGTTTGTGTTGTCGCTGGTGGGCTCTGCTCCGCTTGTACGGTGAGCTTCCCCCTCCTCGAATATGACGTTTCTGACTTCGAAGACCTTCATTCGCTTTGGGTCGTACACTCAGTAGCCGCGGCGTCCCATGTATCCCACCATTTGGCCTTCCCACCCTTGGCGACCCAGCTTCCCTTCCCGTTCGTCCAAGTCCTTCACCCAGCAGACACTGCCCCAAACGCGTAGGTGTGAAATATTTGGGCGAACAGTGTTGCCATCCCCGTCTTGCTTCCAGAACCATCGTGTCCATGGAACCGTGTCTGGGTGTCTCGCAGACGTGATGAACCCCCGAACATAGCAGTGAGCGGCCGTTGCCTCTGCCCAGAACCGAGCATCTAACCCTGATTCAATCAGTTGTGTCCTGGCCCCAGCTATCACAGTCCGATTCCCGCGCTCAGCATGACCATGTGCCGCAGACGATGCCTTTGGGATTCGCTCGATCATGACGCCTCGGTCCTTGCAGTATCCCGTGAAAACGTCGTTGTCAAACTCGCTCCCAAGGTCAACTCGGACAACCTTTAGCTTCCGTTCCGTTTGAACCTCAGCTTCCGTCACCCATGCCGCGAAAGCCTTGAGGACGGTCTCCTTGCGCTTGTCTGCCAGGAATACGGGGAACTTCATGCTGGTTCCCCCATCCGAGATTAACAGTAGGTACACTGCTCCTCCCCAGCTTGGTGTCCGAGCTCTTCCCCACAGGTCGAGGTGGACGCGTTCCAGTGCATTGTTCTCGTGGACGACTTCGTCATCAAACGGGGCTCGATCTTGCTTTCCGAGAATGCAATCCTGGCACATTCCCCGCACTTCGCCCTTTGTGATGTCTAGGCCTTCGACAAACCCTCTCGTTGCCATTCTTTGGATCATCCGGATGTCGGCATGCCCCAGTTGCCGGTGCCAGTTCTCCATGGAGGTGGGCTGCTTCCGATTTCTCCCCGTGATTGCCACTGTTGTGGGTGCCACTAGCTTTTCGTCCACCACATCAACCGCATATAGCTTGCGACCGCTCCCGCTTCCGCTTGCGATCCGCCCAGTGAGCACCTCGACCCCTTGGCGATTCACGACACTCAAGGTTCCGTTGCCCCACGAACCTTTCAGCCCGCGCGCATCCAGGGTGGTGATTGATAGTAGGTTCATGCGGAAGTCCGGTGTGTGTAAGGTGTGGAATCTGAGCCGGTGTACCTGACCTCTCTCCAGACGAACAATGATTTCGGCTTCCCCATGCCCAGCTATCCTGAATTGACCTCCCGACTTTACTGCAGTCTGACCTTGGACCCCGGCTGTTTCGTGATATGTCACAAATTTGGCTCGATCCACGATGCAATGTTCCGACACCCCAGAGTCAAGAAAGGTAGGAATTTGATTTGCTTTACTCTGTACGGCTGATGTCGCATAGACTACAGGTTCCCCTTCCTGCCCAAACTCCCCATTCAGAACAGTAGGGTGTGACCTTCCACGTCCCATTCTGAACGGTTTGTTAGATGTGCGGTATGGTTCGCCCAGTCCTGACGACATACCGTCGTCATGCGTTTCGGCGGCAAGGACGTACGTAGCCATCGGACTGGCATAGGCAGTGGTCGGCGGCGATTCTGGAGCTTGTGCGGCGGCAATTTGGTGGTTTACGTATGGCTGTGCGTGGTTTCGGCGGTTTTCTCTGGCTTGACGGTGGGCCTGAACGAGTCCCAGTGCGGGTTCCTTTCCACGGGGTGGTTTCCACCACCCAGGGGCCTGTCCTTCTTTGCCTCCACCCCGAGCCCAGCACGCCCGTTGGTTATGTCCACTGACCCCACAGTTCTCGCAGAGTGAGTCGTTTGTCACGGCGCCCAAGGCGTTCGCTGATGCTCCCTCCTCCTCCACTCGCTTCTTCCAAACCAAGTCCCACCATTCGCGTAGATGTTGCACTATGTGAGCCACCACTTTGTGTATTTGGAGGGCAATCAGTGACGTTCTGAACTCTTCTTTTGGCAGCGATGATAAGATGATTGTACACATCAGCGGGTCAGGGACGCTTCCACCGATGTCGTGCACTTCCGCGCGGCGTTTCACTAGCTCGTCAATATGGGACATCAGGTACCGGGGGTCTTTCAGCTCCAGCGTGTGCAATCGCTCCATCTTCAAGCCCACCAACAGCTCGGTGCTTCTATTGAACTTGCTGACGAGGGTCGTCCAGATGAGGTTTGCTGAGTCTGACCCCTTCAGATCATGCGACCGTGGGTCCTTGATGTTCTGATAGAGCATCGCTGCTACCCATCCATCTCGTAACATGTATTCGTCCGGAGAAGGTGTAGTGGCGTTCAGAGGGGTATATCCAGCACTGGACGCAACGAAGGCGGTTGGGTTCAGAACGGTCCCAAACAGGTAACCATCCACACCACGTCCTCTCGCCATGCTGATCATGATCTCTTCAAAGTTGGCCCAATTAGCGCCGTCGGTGGCTAGCTTCTGTTCGTCGGGGAGGAGAGGGGTTGCTGGGAGATTTGTCGTCATCTCTGTTTTGAATCTGCGTTCTGACTGTTGTTGTGTTTCTGAATATTGGACTGTGGGTGCGAGCACTCTACTTCTGACTGCGAATCTGTAGACGGATGACCCAGTCAGTCCTCAGTCACACCAGACAATGGTAAGACTGAGGGCTGTGAAACAATCGGAAAACTTCATATGTCTGCTCGATCGTACAAACACATCATAACGCTGAGCACCACTTGCTGACGTGATCAGCATTCATCATCAACAGTCTTATTGCCAGTCGTCTGCCCTCTAGCAAAGCAAGCCCTGGGAAGCAACTCAGGGCAGAAACACAACCAAACAAGGAATTGTCTGCGATGTTGAAAGACATCCAGGAAGAGGCCAAGACACTCGACTTGCTCATTAATGTCATTGGCTGTTTCCTTCCACCTCAGACCAAAGAGGTTGTACATAATTCTGGTATGTGATCCCTCACTTGTTTGACTCATTTGGCTCATCTGCATTCACAGATCATCACTTCGTGAACCCAATCACTAAATTCAATGTCAGTGCTCAACTCTCCATCCTTCTTGCCCTCATCTGCTATGCCATTGTTGGCATCAGCAATGATGCTGTCAATCTGATCCTTGCATTTGTTAATGCAATCATACAAAGCACTATGGCCCTTTATTCACACAGCACGTGGGCCAATCCTATGCAGGAGTATCTACTTCAGCAGCTACCCACATCACTCAAGCCTGTGCTTTGCCAGTTCAAAATACATCCCAGTACAACAGTCTACATGACTTGCCCGTCTTGTCATCATAGACATGTGCCATTGCAGGACTGACTTAGTGGTGAAGCTTCCTATCCAGAGGTCTGTCAAGGATATATCTACCCTCAGCAAGGTGAACATCATGCCTGTGCAACACCAATTCTAGAATGTTGTCAGGGCAAGTTGCATCCTATCAAGCCATACTTGGTGCTGGACAAAGTTTTGGATGGTGCATCATATGGAGCCATGTGCTCCACAAACACAATCAGGTGACATAAAATTCATGTCGTGGGTAGTTTACATCTTGTACTATACCCCTACAATGCCCAAAGACCTCTCCCATCCACGCCACTCAGCTGAGAAGAAGAATCAGTTCATTGGTGCCATGCTAGCTGATTGTGACAATCAACAAGAAATAATGTCGAAAAGAGAAGTCAATTCAAAGACTGGAGAATACAACCAAGTAGCTACAGTATTTATACTCAAGTCCAGTCTGAGTCTGAGTCATATCTACAACTAATGAGTCATAAGGCTATGTACCGCATGGAGCATTGGTCATGGGTTATAGTAGAACCTTCTGGAGCATATATTGCGCAGCCTTGAATCGATAAAGATAATCCCTGGAACCCCTAACCCGGGCCGTCTGATGCCGTGATCTGTGATAAGATAACCTGTGCCGAGATAAGATAAGATTGTCAAAGATAAGATGAAAAAGTGGCCGAACTATGACACTGATCCCCATATCAAGAAGCATGCCAAGGCATTTGAGATCCCATATGAAACGGCGCGCAAGCTCTGGAGGACGTACTGGAAATGGGGCACCATCAAGAATATCCCTTCCACGGGGCGTTGAAGAAGATTACTGAGCAAGTGGAGCCCCAGATCATCCAGACTGCACATGAAAATCGCAGGATGCCATTCCTTGAGATCGGCAATCTTGTTGATCTGCCAGTTTGCGAGAAGTCTGTTGTGAAGGTGCTGGACAGCGTGGGAATGCATTGTTGTGTTGCCCAACATGCTCCATACTTGACGGACAGGCACAAGGAGGGGAGGTTGTCATGGGTGCAGGCAAACAGACGGAAGACAGCACAGGGATGGGATGCAATCCTGTGGTCAGATGAGTGTTACATCCACTTGAACGGGACTGCAGGGCGTGTTTGGGTGACAAAGATGGTGGATGAGGTCTACAATGAGGCATGCTTGGTACTGGCCTTCAAACAGTTGCCTGTGCATGTCATGGTTTGGGGTTGCATTGCACATGACTGAAAAGGGCCTCTTGTCATCCTCAACTATCCTGGTGGGAAGGGTGGTGGAATGTGTGCAGAGCGCTAGCAAAAACAGGTTCTGCAGACACATGTTGTCAAGGCCATGAAAGATCTCCGTCACCATCACGCTCGCAAGATCAAGATTCAGTACCAACAGGATGGTGCATCCTGTCACACAGCTGAGTCAACCATCAAGTGGCTCGAGAACCATAAAATCCCCCTTTTCCCCCATCCTGTGTGCTCACCCAATGTCTCCCCCATTGAGCCCGTCTGGCATGAGCTCAAGAAGCGCATCCGTGCCCGACAACCAAGGCCAATGACCTTTGAATCACTGAAAGCAGCAATCAAAGAAGAATGGGAATTGATGCCAATTGATGACATCAATAAATACACTAGCACAATGCAAGACCGCGTAGCAGCTATATTGGATGCAGAGGGAGGTCATACAAGATTTTGAAGGAAAATAAATGTATTTTTAGATCAGAATATGTAGATGAAAGATTGACTGTCCAAAACTTTATCCACCTATGAGTACAACTTGACCTCCTTCATTGATTACATTGCTGCAATGCTCTCTGATGCTGATGTTGAAAGAATGTGTGAGAAGGTGTGTGATGACGCGCTGGTGGCTGTCCGCGAGGCTGTCATAGTTTGACCACTTTTTCATCTTATCTTCGATGATCTTATCTTATCACGGATCATGGCATCCGACGGTCCAGGCTAGGGGTTCCAGGGATTATCTTTATCAATTCAAGGCTGCGCGATGTATGCTCTGAAAGGTTCTACTACAACCCATGACCAGTGCTCCATGCGGTACATAGCCTTATGACTCATTAGTTGTAGATATGACTCAGACTGGATTTGGGTATAAATACTGTAGCTACTTGGTTGGATTCTTCAGTCTTTGAATTCACTTCTCTTTCCGACATTATTTCTTGTTGATTGTCACAGAGGCTCTCTCCACAAACCCTGACATGTCTGTTGTGGAGGAATGGGTGAACAGTGTCTTTGAGGCCGCATTCATGCGCAGTTTCAAAGGTCCGGTGCCTGATAAGCTGTTCATACAGAGAGATGGTTGCATGCGCCTTGCCTTCCAGGTCATGCTTGACTTCTTCAATCCGAATGGGACACAGAAATGTGGAAACCACAATTCCATCAGGATCTTGGCCGTTGTCAACCTCAACCTGCATGAGGACATCTGTTATTGCCCCAAATACATGTGGCTCAGTATCCAGTATCATACTTGGTCCAGAGGAACCCAACCCTGATCAGATCGGCAACTACATCTGCCCTCTTATGGACTCGTTTGTTGTTGGATGGGAGCAAGGCTTCCGACTCTCCCATATTGCTCTGCATGAATCTGGCTGCAGAGTGGACATTGCTCTGGTTATCAACATCAACAATCTACTAGCAACACGAAAGGCTCAAGGCATGGCTGCCACCAATGCAAATCAGTATTGCTCAATATGCGACTGCTACGGGACTCATACCATGTACAATACGGAGTTCTATCAGTGGAAATGACGTGATATTGTAGTGCTCCATGCCAAGGCTTACAAATGGGGTGAGACACAACTAGCCAGGCTGCCCACGACACCATCTTCTCAGAGTACGGTGTTCATTGGTCAGAATTCAGGTGTCTATCATACTGAGACCCAACTCGCATGGCCATTGTTGACGCAATGCATTGTATTCTAGATGGCCTGGTTCACTACCACTATCATTGAGTATTGCAAATAGACACCCAGTTGGCAAAGCGCAAGGAGACAATGGGTGCAGTGTTTGAATATAACTGGCCAGAATATGACACTGCAACATGTCATCTGGCCTGCATACTGAGGAACAAGGCACAAGAATTGGTTATGATTTGCGCCATTCAACAGAAGCTTGTCCAGCCCCTTCTTCCTGACAATGAGGATGAAGATGATGATGACGCGGCCATCAATGAACATACGGCTGATGTTCCCAATCCACAATTTGTCCCAGCACTCACCATCAACCAGTTATATCAGCAGCTGATGAAGATAAATCTACAGCCCCTTTGCTGGGTCCTTTCTTTGCTTGGGCTCAGTGTGAACCCAAATTCCATTGCATCCAAAAAGGCCTGTTGCAACCAACTGATTGCGTGGGTGAGTATTGCCAGTGTTTTTGTCCGGAGTATTCATTGACTTCACTGTAGTGTCGCACTCAGCCACTTGCAAGCACCTTGTTTGTCCCTTGGCCCATCAACTTGGCCAACATACATTTTATTCAGCATGTAATCCAGCATACCGCCACCCCAGCATCGGTGGACTCAGTCCTAAACAACTATAGAGAGAGAAATGCAGGGACAATCAAGGCAGCTGAATGCACATCTTAGCAACGATCTATCTCCCCATTGCTCTTGTACTGCTCTGGGGTGATCATGATCCCTTGGAACAATCTCCGCGCATGCTTGAGGTCCTGGATCACTCCATGGCACTGTTCTCTTCTGTCATCCTAGCCTGTCAGTTCACCATGACCGCTATGCAAGCAACTCAATATCAAAGCTTCTTGAAGGACTGTGTGGATGGTCTGGCGATGAATCATCCTCATATCCATTCTCATGTGATGCGGCCTAACATGCACATGGCCCTTCACATCTACAACTTCCTTCTATTGTATGGACCACTTATCTCGTGGTGGACATTCCCCTTCGAGCACGTGATTGAATTCCTTGAGAGGATCAACACCAACAATCATATTGGCAGGGAACTTGATGCCACCCTGTCCAAATCATTCATGCGTGGCACCAGCATCCGACAATGGTTGCAGCGACCAAATTGTCCGCCTGTTTTTGTTGAACTCAAAGTGCTTTTTGAGAAGACATTTCCAGCATATAACCCACCCACCAACTCTCCTCCACTTGCCAAGGATGGAGAACGTGCACACTATCGACGGAGTGGAGTCAACTTCTCTGGAGCTAGTACCCACCTGGGCAACAGTTTGGTAATTTATTATCTCCCTGGCTCTCACAAGATGATTGCCGGCAGTATCAAGAGCATTCTCGGGCACAGGGAAGACATTGTATTCAAGATCAGACATCAAGCACCATTGTGTGCAGGGATGCAAGATCCGTTCTCATGTTATAGACCATTTTTTCCTGCTTATACCTACTCATCCTCCATGGCCAACATTGTAGATACTGTCCCGATGCACAATGTAGTATCTCACTGTGCCTGCTTCCACTTCTCAGGTGACCATTGTGTAATTCTTAACCTGTCCGTAAGTTGATTACGCAATAACACGTCTCTTGGTACTTGATGTCAAATGAGCGGCCACAGAGCGTTGGATGAGTGGCTGATCATCAGCTGATCATCAGCCAATACTGTACCGTGCCGATCAAATCGTCAAGGGGTGTGATGCATGACACAAAAGATCAATTCATCGATTCGTCAGGTCCCCCCATGACATGTGACATGTTGATTTTTTCGTCAGGTCATGCATTCACCTCCCTATGAGTTGCTTGCAACTTGATCTGAAGCTATCTGTGTGATAGCCCCAGACAGACTCAAAACAACACAGGGAAGGGTACACAAGTATTTTTAACACTTCAGCTGAACCCCACAAGCCTTATTTATTTCCGAACGAAAAATGAATTCGTCACCTGAGCATGTGATGCGTGACATCAAAACAAATTTCGACTTTGTCAGGCAGCCTGTGACGTGTGACTGACGATTTGATTGGCACGGTACAGTAGATATTTTGGGGCCCAATATGTGTGATATTGGGCTGCACTTTTTTAAGCTGCAATAGTGTTGAAGTAATAAGATGAGAACTTAACTTTATTCTGTAAACTGCTGCTCCTATATATACTATGAGTAACTAATATCTAGAATGTTATAGAATAATCCTGAGGTCGTTAGTAATTACTAAGTAAGCTTAGTAATGATAAGTAATTGATCTCGTATATTCTACAACACTCCCCCTCAAGCACGATACATACTGAGTGATTTGGTCAGATGTGCGTGCTTGTTACATGCAAGTCCTTTTGTGAAAATATCTGCTGTGTTCTCGTCAGTTGGGATGTGAGAGACCGAGACCTTGTGTGAGTTGATGGCGTCTTGAATAAAATGATATCTGATGTCGATGTGTTTGGAACGAGCGTGGAATCCAGAGTTATGGGCAAACGTAATTGTGCCCATATTATCAACGTTGATATGAGTAGGTAACAAGGTGTCGATTCCGATTTCCGTGAATAAGGAACGAAGCCAAATGGCTTCTCGAGTGGCGCTGGCAAGGGCCATGTATTCAGCTTCCATGCTCGATAGAGCTACGGAAGGCTGCTTCTTCGAGTTCCAGGTAACCGGGCCATCTGAAAGCATGGCAACGTAGCCAGTGACAGATCGACGTGTCTCGGGGTCGCTTCCCCAATCAGCATCGGAAAATAGCTCGAGTGTGGTGCGAGTTTTTGAGTAATATCGAATGCCCAGGTCAGTTGTTCCACGTAAATATAGAAATACACGTTTAGCGGCAGTGAAGTGCTCGGGTCCAGGGTTGGAATTGAATTGTGAGAGTGTTTGTACTGCGAACGAAATGTCGGGCCGCGTGGTAATGGCAGCATATAGTAATGATCCAATCATATTTTGATATACATGTGCAATTTCGGGGTAAGATTGGTTGTCGGGGAGACGATGGAGTCGGACGTTTGAGTCGAGAGGGGTTTGGCAGGGGTTGCAGGTGTCCATATGGTATTTTTCCAATATTTTGGTGATGTATTGGGTCTGTGTGAGTTGGATATACTCTGGTGTGCATGTTATTTCCATGCCGAGAAGTTGTCGAATTTCTCCTAGTAGTTTAATTGAAAATTCAGTGCTGAGTTCTTTTTCGATTGAATTCATCAGTTGATTAGACGATGCAAGGATCGTCATGTCGTCAACGTGGACGGCTATGATGACAATGTCAGTGCCATTGCGTCAGATGTAGACACATTGATCCGAGGTGAGACGCGTGAAACCAAGTTTGAGGAAGGATGCATTTAGCGTGAGATTCCAGACTCGGCCAGACTGTTTAAGGCCGTAGATTGTGCGCCAGAGGCGGCAGACACGTGTGGTTCCATCTTGGAAAAATGCAGGCTGTTGCATATAGATTTCCTCCTCGAGTTTCCCATTTAAATATGCACCAATGACATTGGCAACATGTATTTTGAGATTATAACGTGCTGCAAGTGCAAGAAGAAGTCGAATTGTTTCGATGCGTACAACAGGGGCATGCGTTTCGTCGAAATCCACGCCAGGGATCTGTGAGAATCCCTTGGCTACGAGTCGTGCCTTGTATCGTGATATATTCCCACAGTCATCACGTTTGATGCAGAATACCCACTTGCACGCAATAGCAGTGCGATTGGCTGGGAGAGACTCAAGGGAGTACGTGCCTAACTCTTTGAGTTGTCCTATCTCCTCCTCCATGGCCTTCTTCCAATGCGGCCAGTCTGATCGAGATTTTGCATCTTCGACCGATAATGGATCATCGCTGATGGGATCTCGTGATGCGGCTGTAAGTGCGACGTCCGGTGATTTGTTGGTTGGGTTTCGACGTGTTCCAGTGACAATATTTTTCGGGTCAATTTTGCTAGATATGTCTCTGGGCGCGATGTAAGGTTCTTCAAGGGGAATTTTCGGCGTATCAGGTGGTGTCGTAAGTGGCGAGGAAGGTGGTGTCGGGGTTTTCCTTGGAGTTGTGTGCTTGGAAACATCTGATTTCTCCCCCTCGAGCTGCAACGAAGAGGCTTCTAGGGGTCTGATCCGGCGAAAAAATCACATTTCGGCTTGTTAAGACCTGGTGTGTGTCCTTTTTGTAGTATCGGTATGCCCTGGTTTCATCAGTGATACCAGTAAAAATAAATGGGCGGGTTTTTGGCTCCAATTTTCCGAGTTTTCCTGTCTGGTCTAGGACCCAGCAGGCGCTGCCAAATTCCTGTAGCATTGACACGTCTGGTTTTCGCTTCCAGAATGCTTCTTCTGGGGTGATCGGGTTGCCAAGGGCGCGCGTCGGGGATCGGTTTTTTAAAAATGCAGCATAAGATACTGCTTTGTTCCATAAGAATTTCGGTAAATCGAACTGTGCAATCATGGCACGGGCATGCTCAATGAGCGTTCGATTTAACCGTTCTGCGATCCCATTTTGCGCCGGTGAATATGGCGCTGTGAGCTCGAGCCGGATGCCGTGATCTGCCAGATATTGACGGACTGATTCATTTACGTACTCTTTCCCATTGTCACAGCGAAAACATTTGACGCGTTTGCCCGTT